AAACCGTTTTTAAAGTTTGAAATAAAATATTACGTAATAAAACTTGAGGTTTTTTAAAAACAAAACCTTTTAAGATTATCTTTACATAAAGTTAAATTAAACTTTTGTTTTTCTTTTCTTCCTTTTCTTCCTATTCTTCCTTTTTTTTAATATTTATTTTAAATAAATAATTAAAAAATTTTTATATAAAAAACCTTTCAAATTTTTTTTTTAACTTAAATAATAATTTAAAAAAATTTTTTTTTAAAAATATTTTAATACATTAATAAAATAATTGTTTCTTTTCTTTAAAAAAAATAAAAAAACTTTATAAAACTTAATAAAATATTTTTAAAAATAAATAAATAATTTATAGAGGGGGTTAATTTAGTTCTTAACGGTTTGTGTAAAAAAATTTTAAATAAAAAAAAAAAAGTTTATGAAATGATCAAAATGGAAAAACATGTTCAAAAGTAAATTCTGGTCCGGGTATCGAATTTAAATATTCTTTAACGTTTAAAGGTCCGCAACCTTCGAAAGGAGTCACGATGTAAAAGTTTAATTCTGTCGAAAAATTTGTTTGTAAATATTCAATGACGTCATCAACAGCCCAACGTTTTACCTGTAATTAATAATAATAATAAGTAAAAGTAAAATCCCATCAATTTTCTTTTTCTTCTCCGATCGGAACGTTTTTAAAAGTTAATATTTTTTTCATGATCACAATTACCAATGTAAGAAGATATGAATCGTTGCCGTTACACTGCATTTTAGAACCTAAAACTCCATCAACTTCCATTGTTCGTTCCATTAAGAAATCAAGTTCAGGCGTTGTTATTTCGTAATTGTACCTGAAAAATTTAAAATATTAATAATCTATTAATTATATTTTTATTAAAATAAAATTTAAAGTTTTTTTTTTTGAAAATTTAGGTTGTGCCTTAATGAATTATGACTCGCAACCATAATTTCTCCTAATGTTTCAAAATCATTATTTTTTAAAGCTTCAGCCGATCTTAAAGCCCTTTCATTTTCCATCACGACATGAGTTGCTCTTTTCAATGCCGTTTCAGGTATTTCTTTTGATTTAACGCCTACAAAAAATTTTTTTTTTTAAATATTTACGACAACATTACTAAAAATACTTAATTAATTAAATAATTAATAAAATTACCGTCTAGAACTTTCAATGATAAACAACGCAGAGTTTTTGCACCTAATAATCTGGCTACCCTGTAACAATCTTCCATTCTGGAATATAATAAAGATCTGATTTTCGGAGATTTTTGATTCAGGAATGTTAGCAGAAGACTAACGCTTGTATCTTGAAAAGGTATCGGTGTGCTTTTCAAACTTCTAAAATTTATAAATTAAAAAGTTTGAAATTTTTTTTTTTTTAATTTTATATTTTTTTTTATTTTTTTTTATGCTAACCGACAATCAAGTAATAATGCAAAATCTGCTTTGGCATTTATTGTAACGGTTGGATCTCCAACTCCACAAATTGAACTTAAAAAATCTTGTTGAGCCAACATGCAAAAATAAGCTTTTTTACATAAATTCTTTGTTTTCTGACCGGTTAATTCTTCCAGAAAAGTATAAAACGCCATTATCAATACGACGTGATTTGGTATTCCGCATCCTGATGGTATATTACTATCGATAAAACAATCAAAACCCATGAGAGAACCTAAAATTTTTTCATATAACTTTTATAAAATCATTTATTTTGCTAAATATTGGGAACGAAATAAAGAAAAATAATAATAATGTGTCCCTTGAAAATGATTAATAACAGCCATAATCAACTTCATCCATTTAATTCTTCCAAATCTCAAATCTCTACTGACGGGTAATGAAAAAATAATTTTTTTAGGTTCAAAACCAACATCAATCGTTGTCGCCACCCTCACTCTGGAAGTTCCGTTATAAGCTCCAACTACAACCGTTATCAAACTCACTGCCTACGAGTAAATTAATATTTAATTTTTTTTTCCTTTTTTAATTTAAAAATAATTAAATTTACAAAAAACCAGATTTAATTACCATGGAAACGGTAAAACCGTGATTGTAATCCGAATGATCTCCAATTATATTTGTAACTCCAGGTGAAAAAGCTCCATGAGTCGGATTGTATTTATATGTCAAATCGAAATATCGAACAGCTTGTTTCATAAGTTCAATCTTATTAAGATATTTATTAGATAAAACACTTTTTGGATTACTTTTAGCTCCGATATTCAAAACTCTTGCTCCGGAATTAGGAAATGTCAAATAAAATTGAAAAACGGGCCCATATTTTTCAACTACTTTTTTTATATATTTTTCAACAGCATTTCTATGCAACTGTGCATAAAAAAAAAATTTTTTTTCGATACTTTAATAATACTCAAAACCCTAAAAAATTTTTTTTATCATTCATATTACTAAAGTTAATGTTCCTCCTCCGCTCATCATTTTCGCTCCGTATACACCTTCAGTATCAACCGCAAGCTGGACCAAACCGTCAAGAGTTGGACAAGAAACTTCATAATCTAATCTATTAAACAATACTAATTAATAAAATTGCTTTTAAAAAAGGAGGATAAAAAATTTAAAAAAATTTATCTCACTTTAAAGACAAATGACTGTGAATAATTTTTTCACCAAATTCTACATAATTTCCTAGTTGAATAATATCTGGAATTTCGGAACATCTCATTTTTTCCGTTATAACATATCTCAATCTTCGTAATAATTTTCCTATGACGGATAAATTCGAATCAACGCTAAGATTATCAATTCCACCGAGACAATTAATTTCCTCGCATATTTTTTCGGTCATTTTTAGCCCCTTTTTTCCAGCACATAATTCTGCTACCCTATTCATAAGATCTTAAAAAAAAAAAAAAAAAAAAACTTTTTATTCACTGTTATAAATCACGTGTGAAAATTTTTAAAAAATCTTACAGTTAGCCAAGGGAGGACAAGGAATTTTATTTTTTATCTGCCTCGATTTCTTTTCTCTTGAATAACAAGAACCTCCCTTTAATAAAAAAATTTTTTTACTTTTTTTTAACTGATTCTCTTATAAAAAAATAATAATAATATTTTTCATACGATTATTTCTTCTTCTTCTTCTTCTCCCAATTCTTCTCCTTTAAAATTTTCATAACTTTGCATCGAACTTTCATCAGGATTGTGATAAAAACTATAACTATTTTCACCATATTCTTCTTCTTCCACGGATGCAACGGATTTAGAAATATAAAATAATTCGTTGACAAATTCAAATATGCAATCTTCTTCTATTCCAAATCCTTTTAATATTTCTATTATCGTGTTTCTCGAAGGTTCTTCCATTTCTTCGAAAACTGTTTTTTGTTTTAAATGAATGCCCGCAAAAAATTAGGCTATTTTTTGATTATTTTCATTCATTTTTCAAACATTTGAGTGATAAATTTTAACCTACTTTTTAAATGTTCTAATTTGGCCTCATTTATGTGACACAATCCTAATAATTTAGCTATTAAATGTAGTTCCATTTCTCTTCTTGGAATCATTTGTCTATCGTCAAGTTCGATATTGAAATTAGGATAAGTTAATAAAAATAATATATTTATTTCTTTCATTTCAAATGTTGATACCTCACAATTTCTAATTATGAAAAAAAAAACAGAAAAGATTTTATTTTTTCTTTCGAATTTTTTTTTTTTATTTAAATAATTTATATCTTTGTCTCTCTCTCTCTTTTTTTTTTTTTTTGATTTACTTGCAATTTATCAAAACTCCGTGACTTCCTTCCACGATTGATGATGTTACATTATCCCATACTCCTACAACCGTACAAGGACAGTTAAGTTTTAATTCAGATTTTCGGCATAACTTTCCTCTCAGTTCCTTGCTGAAAATCATTTGTTTATGTTTATATATATATATATATATATATATATATATATATTTATTTAAATTATTGTTTTTTTAATAATAATAATAATAAAAAGTTAACGAATAAAACACATCAATCGATTTTAATATTTTTCTCTTTTTAAAATTGAATGAATATATATTTTACGGTGAGTGAAAAAAGTTAACATTGACATTTTTTTTTTTTCAATTTGCTTTAAATTTAAAAATATTTAAATAAACTAACTTTATGCAAGCCCGTTTCCCACAAATAATTTCTAAAAATGTAAAAAAAGCAACTTGTAAAGCTGCACTGCTACCATAACCGTGATTGGGAGGTATAGATGAATGTATTAAAGCATCGAAACCTCTGATGTTTTGACAAGGGAAAACATTTATAATACCTGAAATTTATATCTATTAAGTTTTTTATTTATCTTATGATTATCGTTTTATTTAAAAAAAAAATATTATTATTATTATTTGTAACGTACCTTGAAGAAAAGCAACCCACGGAGGATAAGATTGTATGCTTTTATTTTTAAAATAACTTGTTGGAAAAACCGATTTTTTTAATCCTTCGACATGTTTTGCCGTTGTTATTATTTTACATTTAACCGTATTTAATGCTTTTCCGACTATCACTGTCACAAAGGGTGACGCCTAAAACGCACACACACACACACACACAAAAAAAAGGAAAAAATTTTTTTTTTTTTTAAAAATAAAACTTAAATATAATTAAATGTATTTTTTAAACGTTCACGCGTTTGAACGTTTAAGAGAACTTGTATATGCATACAATAAATAAAATAAAAAGGTCAAATTAGTCTTATTTGCATACGGCCTGTATTAATTTTCCATCTGAATATTCTAAATGATCTCCGAAAATGGTAAACACTCCTGGAGCACATGCACCTATTTCTGGATAATAATCGAATTCATTGTAAAATGCTTCCACGGCTTCTTTTACTATTTCTGTTAGGGATGGTATTTTTGTCGTGCACGGGGATTCCGATATAACTCTTCTGAAAAACGTCGGATCAAAATTAAATTTCGACATTTTGTTACTTTATATGTTTGTAAACACACTCAAACAAGTGGTCGGAATTCATTATTTTGATTCATTTGTTAATTTACAACGGTCGATTTAAACTATGATAATAATTCACTGCTGTGGTAAAAAAAAAAAAAACTAAGGCAAAAAAAAAAAGTAGAATAATAACTTCCGCTCAAGCGATAAAATTATCCTTTCTTATATATATATATGATTTCATTATTATTATTTTAACTATTTATTTGTTAATTTTTATTTAATAAACTTGTTAAATGCTTTTATATCTTGTCTTGAAATATTTATTAAATTTCTGATAAGAAAGTGACAAAGGTTTCATTGGTCATCTGACAAAAATTTATGTTTTTTTTTACTTTGTTGATAATATACATACGTATACACGATATAATACGTAGGCGGATAAATTATTAAAAAGGTACGTTAATTAATAAATAAACGTTTTTTTTTTTTTCAAATATTTTTTTACTGACAAACCAATTTCTTAATTTTTTTATTCGTTAAATTTTTAATTAATAATTTAAAATTTACTAAGATTTCCTAAGAAAGCTTTTTTTTTTTTGGGGGGGGGTTCACATTAACAGCTTATTTAATTTGTATAAAATAATTCTAAAATCTATTATTAAATTACAAATGTAAAATTATCTTCAAAGAAAAGTTTAACAACTTTTTGTATTTTTGCAAACAAAGAGTAAAAACATAATTAATAAGTTCCTATGTTAAATGCAGCCAACATAAGAAAAAAAAAAAACGTTAACATTTGTCTAAACGGAAATGTTTTTTTGACTCAAAAAAATAAACGTTTACGATTTAAATAAATGTTTTATGTTCATATAAAAAACTAAATAAATATTTTAATGTTTTATAAACATTGTTTTTGCAACGGATTTTTGTTTTTTTTTTTGAATTACGTTGGATAAACTGTTTTGAAAAAACATTTTTATTTAATTTCTGCTGTATACAAAAAAAATCATGTCGCGGTACTTAAATATACTGGTAACAAAAATAACATTAGTACATAAGAATATTTCAAAATTTTTTTTTTTATTTCGACATTAGAATATTTTTCACGTTAATTAGATTAATATTAAAATATTAGAGTTTGTAACAAGGTAGCAAAATATTTTAGTAAATTTTCTTATTCTTTTTTAGGTGATATGTCAAAACCTGTTTCAAAATGATCGTAGACGGAAAATACAAAGCACGAGCCTTTGGATTAATAAATTCAATATACACTTTTATTGTTTTTATATTGTCTTGCAGTCTATTTGGATGTTTATGCTCTTGTTACATAGGTAAACAATTTTTAATTTGTTTTCATTTACATGTAGATGTATAGAATACTAAAAATGTTAAATTATTACAGGTACGAGAATTGCAAGGGAAACATTGTTGAAATATTTGAAAAAAAAATTTCCCGATTTGGAATTCATTAAAAAAACAAGTCTTCGATCAGTTGTGGACACACATAGAAACATGGGCATTGTTACTGTACTCATTACTGTCAAGGGAAACTGTGATCCGAAAAAAATTAAAACAAGGTTTTAAGAAATTCTTTTTTTTTAACTCTTAAAGAATCAGTTTTGACTCGTTTATTAATTTTGTGAGGTTACCTGTAATTATCATTAATAGGGAAAATTAATTTTATAAATGTAACCTCTTTGAAAAATTTCCATTTGTTTGACTATGAAAAATGTATCATGCAATGTAATTTTTAGAACAGGTTATAAAATATTAATTTTCAGTATTCATGATATTTATACTGATCACAGTTTTTTTAAAAAATCGATAAAAGACATTTGAAAAAAGTTAATATTAATAATCCTGTTAAAATTAAAATTAATTTATTACTAGAGTTAATATTAGGTATCCTGTAATGTAATAATAACTTTTAGCTGTCCCCTGTCTGCTTTTGTACCAGATTGATCAAAGATGTTTTGGAGAAAAAAGAAAATGATGGAACATATCTGCACAAACATCTAAGAATGTCCTTAACTAAAAAATGGGGATGGTATGCCTGGCAAACATTGACACCGTTTAATATCGATCAACATTTAGTTTTTGCTAATCCTATTTACAGAGGCAGACCATTGTCTGATGCAAATATTCAGGTATTTTCGACAAAATTGATTGTTACCCAAAACAATGTTTTTTTTTTTCAATGTGATAACTAACATTTATAATAATTTTACAGGAATGTGTAAGCGAAACAGTTTCAAAATATTTTGTACCTGATTTATCACCATGGCAAATTACAGTGTTTCAGCTTTTAACAGCTGAAAAATATTATGTATTGATAAGGTTTCATCACATGTTACTTTCTCAAGAGGGAATGGATTTGGGAAGTTTTTTAACTTTTATGGATATTGAAAATGTTAGTGTAATTTCAATTTTAAAAAATCAATGGTTATTAAAATTTAATCATCATTTACATTCTTCTAAACCTTTAACGTTAAATATTTTTGTATCACATATTAACACACACGCACACACACACATTTTTTAGTTTATAATTTTTTATGAAAAAAACTAATATTTTGAAATAATTTTAGATAGCTACAACGTCTCAAAATGTACCAAATGAAAGCAATGAAGATTTTTTCACTAATTATAATAACAATAAAAGACCTCATCCTTTTCAAGATCTTTACAAAAAGCCAAAAGCGTTACCCGAACTTGGCAAAAACCTTTATGAAGTCCTAACCGAAAATTGGAAAGAATTTTTATCATTTTATGATCCAATCGAAAACCCAACAATATTGAAAAAACCAGGTATTTAGTGCCAAAAAAAAATAATAAAGAATTTCTTTTGTCTGATATCATTATTATTAATTTTTAAAAATTTTCTTAAATTGTAATTTTTTCATTTTAGGTTTGAAAACAACAATCGCAGTATTCATTATAGTTATAGTTTCTCTGATAAAACAATTTATTAAACGACCTTTTTTAAGTATTGGTCTCATAGCAAGCGAGTTTGCACAAAAAGGTTTAACAATTTCATTTGTAATAAAAAGCGTTTGGAAAACATTTAATCCTTTTTCATTGACGAAATTTTTTTTAAAAACCGCATTTATTTTGCCTTTGAAATTAATTGTTAACTTTATCAAAGAATATAGTTTATTACAAGTAAATAACGACAAACAATACTTTGGAATATCTTACGTAAGATTCGTAGTAACAATTTGGAGAAGTTTAAAACATTCGCTAAAAGAACTTTCCTATTACTGTAAATTATGTTATACGGCTCCTAAATTAATTTTAGAAGAATTTCTTTTGGCAAATAAATATTCGAAACATCATTTACAATTTGTGTCTCTTTGCGGACGAAAAGTAAATTTTTCCTATCTTGAATTCATGTTTATTTTTATTTAATTTTCAACATAAAAATTTTCCTTTTTTTTTTTAATTTCAAGGTTGCTTCCTGGTCGAACGGGGTACCACTAAAAATAGTTCGTGAAATTCAAGAAGTAACTGGAGCCACTTTTAGCGAAATATTGATCAGTGTTACATCGGCCTGCTTGAGAGATTTCCTCGTACAGTATAATTCAGATGTACCGGAAAGCGTACCCATGATGGCGCGTTATTTTCCTCAAGTAAGATATTCTTGTATTATTTACAAAATATGTTAAAGATAGCTTGCACAACAAATATGAAGTGATAATTATGGTAATTAAAAGAAAGAAAATCAACATTCTTTTATTAATCATTTAACTGAGTTCAAATATTTTAGGAGCAGTTGATTCAATCGCAAAAAAAAAAATTGGCATCTTGTGGTAGCGGAATTTTATGTCTACCCCTACCAACTAAAAATCCCTTCAGTTCGGAATACGACCCTGTAACCGAATTGCGTGCCGTACAACAAATTATACTTCGAGCCAGACTAAAACAACCAGCTTTGTATTTGGCTTCTCTTGCTCAATTAGAATACGGAATATTGACTCAAGTAAGTTAAAATCATTCGGCGTAAATTAAAGATGATAGTTATAAAAATCAAACATGCTTTTATTAGGTGTTGCCATCTCCCATTCTACGCCTAGTTTTAAATTTGCTGTCCCGGCGTTTTCCCGTTATCCTCAGCGAAGTGGGATCGTCAGGAAGTGGAAAAAATAAAAAGTGCTTTTTTTGGGGTCAAGAAGTTGAAGATTTGATGTATTGGAAACCTCCGCAAGCAAACATATGTAAATATTTTACTTTGTATCAAAGAATACTCTCACGATTGGACCTTAGGGAACCATATTTCAAAACAAGTGAACGATTGGGTTAAGAAGAAAATTTTTTTTTTTTTTTTTTCGTGACAGGCATGTCATTAACTTTAATGACTTACAACGATAGCGTTAAGCTCGGTGTCGTGGCGGACGCTTTGCTGTCTCCTCACCACGCCGTCATAGCATCGACTTTTGCTCAGCATTTGTGGGAATTGGCAGCAGGAGCGGGAGTCACGACAAATTATTCAGAAAACTATTCGTTCATATCCGACGACAGCGATGGACCGGGAGTTAGTCGGTCATCTAGAAATTCATCACTGTCGTCTTCAAGCGCTGATTTAACGTCGGGAATGAGAAATTATTCGGACGATGAAAACAATTTAAACCAAGATTCGAATTCACTACACAAGTATCCCTTGAAAAAAAATTTACAATTAAACATACCCTGTTAACGCCATCGAAAATGAAAGTCGTTATTATCATAACTAAAAAATATCGTTAGTATTATTACCGCATGAACGTCATAAATTTGTAAATAATCAATAGGTAATTATTACGATTTCGATTTTTAAAAAAAACAAATTCGATAATAATTTAAAAATCAAATCTATGGCCTAAATCAAATTTTTTAAAAAAGTCGAAATGGGGAAATAAATATACCAATTGGCTTTAATCCAGTGACAATAATACATTTTTAATAATGATGTTGATGTATGTAAACGCATAAAAAACTCAAATGCATTATTTTCAAGGGAAACAAACTCTTCATGCATCACTTTGAAAACAACTCTTTTTACTCTCTTTTGTTTTTTAAAAAAAAAAAATATTTGCCTACATCTTTTAAATAAAATACTACTAATGATAATGATAATATTAAAATTAATAAAGAAAAAAAAAATGATAAATTTAAATCGTTTGTTTTCTGCAACAATAATTGATGACGTGAACGCGGCGCCATTCATTGATCGATCTTCAATGTAGATCAAGGCCAGTTTGACTGCATTTTCCATAAACTCGTACAAATTTTTTATTTTTTTTCCTTTTTTCCTTTTAAAATCGCAAAATTGCAAATAAGAAAACAAACAAAAAGAAAAAAAAAACCAACAACAATCAATAACGTCGTATACCCTTAAAGTTACATAACTTTCAAATATGCGTTACCCATCGTTTGTTTGCCTTTTTTAATTTTTTTTTGGAATTTGATCCATGCAAAATTTAAAAAAAAAAAAAAAATAATAATAATAATTAGCATTAAATTAAAAAAACGTGTAGACGATTATTTAAATCATATCAACACACGAGTCATAAAAATATTGCATTAAATAAAAAAAAAAAAAAAAATTAAACGATGCGAACAATTAAATTTCTTTAATTACAGAATTTTTTTTTTTTTTTGAAGAATCAAATGAAAAGTTTTTTAATTGCGATTAATTTAATGCCACGAAAATAATGATAATAATGATTAATAATAATAATAATAATAAAAATAAATGTATAATTAATTAATTTTTTTTTATTTTACGGAATCCATATTGTTTATCATCGTATTTGTTGTTGTTTTTCGTCGTTGTTTTTAA